TCTTTTTTTCACAGGTGTCCACGATCTTGTGGCTGTGCGAGATTTAAAATGCCAACCCACGGCCACAAAGTGTCAGACGCGCGCGACCCTCGAGTCAGAAACCCGGAAATTATTTGAACCAACAGAACAAAAGTTGAAACGTGTCGCAAAGAGGCGCGGAGATTAAGATTATATGGCACACTGTGGGCGGGAGGGGGAGACACACCGGGAGACGCACATTTAATTATTATTTTATTTCTTTAATCGCACACAAAAAAGACAAGTGGAAGACAACCGGTGAAGATAAAAAAAAGTGTGCAGGTGAGCTTGGACACCCAAGAGGTATTATATGAAAACCACAGCAAAAAAAAAACGAACAACGTATTTACAAAACAAAGAGACCCCCCGAATGGCCTTGAGAAAAGTAAGTTGGGCCGGAGCAGGAAGCGTCACGGCTATAAGGCCCCGGTGGTCGAGACTAACATTGGACTGGCAGCCGAAGGATGAAACGAGCCCGAGATGAAGTGGAATCGGCTTGAGAGGTGGTGGCAGCTTGGGGAAAGAGGCCTTCATCCAGCAGTGGATAGATCGCGCCTGCTGATGATGATGGTGTTGATGATGAATGGGTGGGGCTGTTGTTGATGATGATGGTGTTGATGATGAATGGGTGGAGGCTGATGATGATGAATGGGTGGCGCTGCTGCTGATGATGATGACGTTGAGGGGCTTAACTGATTGCCACAGGAGACGAGCCGCCGAGTGGCAGCCCACGTGACGGGACGCGCACGAGAGACATACGACTATCGTGGAGACGGAGCGATTAAATCGACTCGCGTGTCGCATCCGGTGGGATTGTTGTTACATCGCGGGATTGCGAGAGATGAAAACGGCGTCGCTGGGAGGGGAGGGGAGGGGGGTCCAACTTTACGCCTGGCGATTCCAAGCATGTTGTACGGCATGTACACGAAACACTGGGAATGGCTTTAAAATGTTGTACAATCTCCTGTAGATGTTGATGCCACTAATTCTTCACGTTCTGCAGGTGTAGATGCCACTGGTTCTTCACGTTCTGCAGGTGTAGATGCCACTGGTTCTTCACGTTCTGCAGATGTAGATGCCACTGGTTCTTCACGTTCTGGAGATGTAGATGCCACTGGTTCTTCACGTTCTGCAGATGTAGATGCCACTGCTTCTTCATGTTCTGCAGATGTAGATGCCACTGGTTCTTCACGTTCTGCAGGTGTAGATGCCACTGGTTCTTCACGTTCTGTAGATGCCACTGGTTCTTGACGTTCTGCAGATGTAGATGCCACTGGTTCTTCACGTTCTGCAGATGTAGATGCCACTGGTTCTTCAGGTTCTGCAGGTGTAGATGCCACTGGTTCTTCACGTTCTGCAGATGTAGATGCCACTGGTTCTTCACGTTCTGCAGGTGTAGATGCCACTGGTTCTTCACGTTCTGCAGATGTAGATGCCACTGGTTCTTGACCTTCTGCAGATGTAGATGCCACTGGTTCTTGACCTTCTGCAGATGTAGATGCCACTGGTTCTTCAGGTTCTGCAGATGTAGATGCCACTGGTTCTTCACATTCTGCAGATGTAGATGCCACTGGTTCTTCAGGTTCTGCAGATGTAGATGCCACTGGTTCTTCACGTTCTGCAGATGTAGATGCCACTGGTTCTTCATGTTCTGTTGATGTAGATGCCACTAGTTCTTCACGTTCTGCAGATGCCACTGGTTCTTCACGTTCTGCAGATGTAGATGCCACTGGTTCTTCAGGTTCTGCAGATGTAGATGCCACTGGTTCTTCACGTTCTGCAGATGTAGATGCCACTGGTTCTTCATGTTCTGTTGATGTAGATGCCACTAGTTCTTCACGTTCTGCAGATGTAGATGCCACTGGTTCTTCACGTTCTGCAGATGTAGATGCCACTGGTTCTTCATGTTCTGCAGATGTAGATGCCACTGGTTCTTCATGTTCTGCAGATGTAGATGCCACTGGTTCTTCACGTTCTGCAGATGTAGATGCCACTGGTTCTTCACGTTCTGCAGATGTAGATGCCACTGGTTCTTCACGTTCTGCAGATGTAGATGCCACTGGTTCTTCATGTTCTGTTGATGTAGATGCCACTGGTTCTTCACGTTCTGCAGGGTTTGTTTTTATATAAAAGTGCTCCCTAAACCGTACTTGCGCCCAACGTAACGGTGTAGGCGACACGGGGGGGGGGGGGGGGGGGGGGGGGGGGACTTTTATTTGTATACTGTTTACGTGCGAAAGCCAAGGGTCAAATTTCCTTATTGGCGTTGTAGAAACTATAGCCGCAGCAGTTGCGTTCTGCACCCACGTTGACGTTGTACCCCCAGCACAAAGGCAAAGTCCCCCCGTGTAGCCTTAACAGACTGTTGGGGCAAGTGCTGTTAGCGACCCGCACCTATGAAGGCCGGCAGGGTACGCGAGGGGGTGGGTGGCCAGCACCACGCCCGACCGCCTTTGTCTCCCCAGCGACGATGTTTTACACACCGCACCAGGAGGGTGAGTCGACGAAGGGAAGGAGGTCCAGGACCGCTTCAGACAATCGCCGCCGGCGTTGGTGGCCCTAAGTGGGAATGGAACTCGGGTCGCCGGGTTCGTAGCGCAGCAGCGCAGGAGCGCTGCGACACGACCGCTCCCCGTTGTACCACCAACCACACGCTCACGGCACGGAGGCTGCGTGTGACCTTCATTCCAGATAGGCTAAAACAAACCACAAATCCTGAGGTCATTGTTCTTCATGCTTCCCGGGAGGGTTGGGGGGCGGTGTCGCTGCTCACGATCGTGAAGGACCTCAGTGTAGGTGGGCACAGGACAGGCCCCCGGCAAAGCTGCGTGGTCGGGAGTCGGAGCCGTTGCCTCTTCAGGTTTTTGTTTGTATGCAGGAACTCCGCTACTTACGAACATTCGACTTACGAACTTTCAGGTTTATGAACAAATCTGTCCGCATGTCCAGTTGCCAGTTCGGACCGAGAGTCGTAAGTTCAATCACCGCGCAATAGATGGCGGTGGTGGCATCTACATCTGCAGAACATGAAGACCCAGTGGCATCTACATTTGCAGAACGTGAAGAATCAGTGGGATCTACATCTGCAGAACGTGAAGAACCAGTGGCATCTACATCTGCAGAACGTGAAGAATCAGTGGCATCTACATCTGTAGAACGTGAAGAATCAGTGGCATCTACATCTGCAGAAAGTGAAGACCCAGTGACATCTACATCTGCAGAACGTGAATAATCAGTGGCATCTACATATGCAGAAAGTGAAGAACCAGTTGCATCTACATCTGCAAAACGTTAAGAACCAGTGACATCTACATCTGCAGAACGTGAAGGATCAGTGGCATCTACATCTGCAGAACGTGAAGAACCAGTGGCATCTACATCTGCAGAACGTGAAGAATCAGTGGCATCTACATCTGTAGAACGTGAAGAATCAGTGGCATCTACATCTGCAGAAACTGAAGACCCAGTGACATCTACATCTGCAGAACGTGAAGAATCAGTGGCATCTACATCTGCAGAACGTGAAGAACCAGAGGCATCTACAGCTGTAGAACGTGAAGACCCAGTGGCATCTACATCTGCAGAACGTTAAGAATCAGTGGCATCTACATCTGCAGAACGTGAAGACCCAGTGGCATCTACATCTGCAGAACGTGAAGAACCGGTGACATTTACATCTGCAGAACGTGAAGAATCAGTGGCATCTACATCTGCAGAATGGGAAGAACCAGTGACATCTGCAGGACATTATACAACTTTTAAAGCCATTCCCCGTGTTTAGTGAACATGCTGTACAACATGTTTGGAATCGACAGGCGTAGAGTTGGACTTGCGAACAAATCGATTTACGAATACAGACCTCTGGAACCTAACTCGTTCGCAAGTAGAGGAGTCCCTGTACATATTTAAGTTAATTGTTTACCCTTTCCAATGCTGTTGCACTCCTTTAGTGTTTGTGTATTGTTTGTTGTTGTTTTAACGGTCTGACCCCGTGCCCCTTACTGGACATCTTTTACAAAAAGACCTTTATAGCTCATCGGATTCCTCCTGCAGTTATTGATTCTGTTCACCTTGGGGTGCGACAGGGATGTCTCCGCAGAGGTCACACAAAGGTCCCCCGTGCAGCCTTGCCAGACTGTGAGGGCACACGAGGGGGTGGTGTGGCAGCACCACGCCCGGCCGCCTTTGTCTCCCCCAGCGCTGATGTTACGCACACCGCACCAGGTCCTCATTTAAGGCTGAGTCGACCTAGGGGGGGGGGGGAGGCCCAGCAGCGGTTCAGATATTCGTCAGTGTTGTTGGCACGTGTGCCGCGAATAGAAACTCGGGCCGTGGGATTCATAAGGTCGACGTGCTAACCGCCGCGCCATCGCTCCGCACATTTTCTCCCCTGGATTTAAAGATTTAAAAAACACTAAAACTCCAGGCTTGCATTTTATACTCCGGTGCGTTGCGTGCGTGTGTGAGCAGCAGATTTTTATCGCCGTATTGGGGACAGGGGCAAAAATAAAAAATATATATATACTCTGGGGGGGAGGGGTGAGGGGGGGTGCGTCTTAAAATTATCCCGAGAAATTGGTAGGGCTGGGATAAACGTCTTCACTCAGCGTGCACTGGGGCTGGGGTCTAGAGGCAAGGTTGAAAACCCCCACGCTTGTCTTGTTGCTGCATTGGTCGTGTTGACAGAGGCAACCGGGTTCACACGTGCTCGGGGTGGGAAGGGGTGGGGTTTAGGGGCGGGGGGGAACAGACTTAGGGGAGGGGGTAGAGGGGCGGTGTTTGGGTGTTGGAAGGGTTGGAGGGCGGGGTTTGAAGGGTAATGGGCGGGGTTTTGAGGGTGATGGGCGGGGTTTGGGTGAGGGGCGTGGTTGGAAAGGTGAGGGGAGGGTTTAGGAGGGTAAGGGACTAGATTTGGAGGGTGAGGGGCGGGGTTGGAAACGTAAGGGGCGGGGTAAAGCGCGTGAGGGGCGGGGTAATATAATCTCTCGATGACGTCACCACCCTAGGTGACGTTGCGCGGCTACGGGAGGCCGAGGAGTTCAAAACGGCCGAGGCGGCGCGATTCGTTTCACCTCCTCCCTGGCGTAGTGACTTCTGAAGGTAACCTCGCGCGTTCACCCCCCACGGGGTAACCTCACGTGCTCACCACACACGGGGTAACCTCGCGCGTTCATCACACACGGGGTAACCTCGCGAGACACGACCCGGTCTCACTGTGAGTGCGGATGACATCGTCATAGCAGAGGTGGTGCGTTGTGGTGTTGGTTGTGATGATGGTGATGATGAGTGGTGTGGTGGTGGTGAGTGGTGTTGGTTGTGATGATGGTGATGAGTGGTGTGGTGGTGGTGAGTGGTGTTGGTTGTGATGATGGTGATGATGAGTGGTGTGGTGGTGAGTGGTGTTGGTTGTGATGATGAGTGGTGTGGTGTTGGTGAGTGGTGTTGGTTGTGATGATGGTGATGATGAGTGGTGTGGTGGTGGTGAGTGGTGGTGGTTGTGATGATAAGGGGTGTGGTGTTGGTGAGTGGTGGTGGTTGTGATGATGGTGATGATGAGTGGTGTGGTGGTCAGTGGTGTTGGTTGTGATGATGGTGATGATGAGTGGTGTTGGTTGTGATGATGGTGATGATGAGTGGTGTTGTGGTGGTGAGTGGTGTTGGTTGTGATGATGAGTGGTGGTGGTGAGTGGTGTGGTGGTTGTGATGATGAGTGGTGGTGGTGGTGAGTGGTGTTGGTTGTGATGATGGTGATGATGAGTGGTGTGGTGGTGGTGAGTGGTGGTGGTTGTGATGATGAGTGGTGTGGTGTTGGTGCGTGGTGGTGGTTGTGATGATGGTGATGATGAGTGGTGTGGTGGTGGTGAGTGGTGTTGGTTGTGATGATGGTGATGATGAGTGGTGTGGTGGTGGTGAGTGGTGGTGGTTGTGATGATGAGTGGTGTGGTGTTGGTGCGTGGTGGTGGTTGTGATGATGGTGATGATGAGTGGTGTGGTGGTGGTGAGTGGTGTTGGTTGTGATGATGGTGATGATGAGTGGTGTGGTGGTGGTGAGTGGTGTTGGTTGTGATGATGGTGATGATGAGTGGTGTGGTGAGTGGTGTTGGTTGTGATGATGGTGATGATGAGTGGTGTGGTGTTGGTGAGTGGTGTTGGTTGTGATGATGGTGATGATGAGTGGTGTGATGGTGGTGAGTGGTGTTGGTTGTGATGATGGTGATGAGTGGTGTGGTGGTGGTGAGTGGTGTTGGTTGTGGTGATGGTGATGATGAGTGGTGTGGTGGTGGTGGTGAGTGGTGTTGGTTGTGATGATGGTGATGATGAGTGGTGTGGTGGTGGTGAGTGGTGGTGGTTGTGATGATGATGATGGTGATGATGAGTGGTGTGGTGGTGGTGAGTGGTGTTGCTTGTGATGATGGTGATGGTGAGTGGTGTGGTGGTGGTGGTGGTGAGTGGTGGTGGTTGTGATGATGAGTGGTGTGGTGGTGGTTGTGATGATGGTGATGATGAGTGGTGTGGTGGTGGTGAGTGGTGGTGGTTGTGATGATGGTGATGATGAGTGGTGGTGGTGGTGAGTGGTGGTGGTTGTGATGATGGTGATGATGAGTGGTGTGGTGGTGGTGAGTGGTGTTGGTTGTGATCATGGTGATGATGAGTGGTGTGGTGGTGGTGGTGAGTGGTGGTGGTGGTTGTAATGATGGTGATGATGAGTGGTGTGGTGGTGGTGAGTGGTGTTGCTTGTGATGATGGTGATGATGAGTGGTGTGATGGTGGTGAGTGGTGTTGGTTGTGATGATGGTGATGATGAGTGGTGGTGGTGGTGAGTGGTGTTGGTTGTGATGATGGTGATGATGAGTGGTGTGGTGGTGAGTGGTGTTGGTTGTGATGGTGATGATGAGTGGTGTGGTGGTGGTGGTGAGTGGTGTTGGTTGTGGTGATGGTGATGATGAGTGGTGAGTGGTGTTGCTTGTGATGATGGTGATGATGAGTGGTGTGGTGGTGGTGATTGGTGTTGCTTGTGATGATGGTGATGATGAGTGGTGTGGTGGTGGTGAGTGGTGTTGCTTGTGATGATGGTGATGATGAGTGGTGTGGTGGTGGTGGTGAGTGGTGGTGGTTGTGGTGATGGTGATGATGAGTGGTGTGGTGGTGGTGAGTGGTGTTGGTTGTGATGATGGTGATGATGAGTGGTGTGATGGTGGTGAGTGGTGTTGCTTGTGATGATGGTGATGATGAGTGGTGTGGTGGTGGTGAGTGGTGTTGCTTGTGATGATGGTGATGATGAGTGGTGTGGTGGTGGTTGTGATGATGGTGATGATGAGTGGTGTGGTGGTGGTGAGTGGTGTTGGTTGTGATGATGAGTGGTGTGGTGGTGGTGAGTGGTGGTGGTTGTGATGATGATGGTAATGATGAGTGGTGTAGTGGTGGTGAGTGGTGGTTGTTGTGATGATGGTGATGATGAGTGGTGTGGTGGTGGTGAGTGGTGTTGGTTGTGGTGATAGTGATGATGAGTGGTGTGGTGGTGGTGAGTGGTGTTGGTTGTGATGATGGTGATGATGAGTGGTGTGGTGGTGGTGAGTGGTGTCGCTTGTGATGATGGTGATGATGAGTGGTGTGGTGGTGGTGAGTGGTGGTGGTTGTGTTGATGATGGTGATGATGAGTGGTGTGGTGGTGGTGGTGGTGAGTGGTGTTGGTTGTGATGATGGTGATGATGAGTGGTGTGGTGGTGGTGAGTGGTGGTGGTTGTGATAGTAGTGACTGAGTTGCTAGTGATGGTGGTAGTTGTGATAGTAGTGACTGAGTTGCTAGTGATGGTGATAGTTTTGACAGTAGTGACTGAGTTGCAAGTGATGGTGGTAGTTGTGATCATTCGTAACGAATTAGTGATGTTTGTCACGTTAACAGAAGATGTGGCGGGTTTAACAACACATATTAATAATAGGGTTTTTCCCCTTTTTTGTGGCAACAAAACTGAAACCTTTTTACAAGGATTCATGTCTGCATTAACCACAATACCTGCAGCCAAAATGCAAACAAAAAACATACTATGGTAATACATGCATTGTCCTTGAAACTGATTGGTCCACACCAAGGGACGGCTTTCTTTTGAGCCTCGACCCAATTGGTGCTCGACCAGATGGCGTACGCCAACTGCATTTGCCCCAACAGCCTGGTAAAGACTATGGCAGGTCTTTGGAGTGTCCATATCGTGCACACATCCATGCACAACCGCTTCCGTCAATACACCACCTGGATTGGACTGCAGTGCACTACGGTGGTCGCTGCGGTGTGTTGATGACCAGAAGCATAGATGTGGGGAGCATAGCGCAGTACAGTACAACGGCGCATTTCTTCTGAACTGTCCCCGGTTTTATGCGTCGGTAGTCGCCCATCCAAACACTGCCCAGGCCCAAAAATGCCTGCTTAGCTTCCGATATCGGACGAGATTGGGTGCAGTCCAGGTGATTTCATCATGAGAATTAGTCGGGTAGCTGTGGGGATGGGCTTTGGTCGCCATCGGAATGTGGAATTTACACCTCTGGCTCAAGGCTGCCAACAGAGATGAGGGCCGCTCTCTGCGTGTCACGGTGACACTTTAATGTTTTTTTTAACTCCCGCTAAATAACGCGTTACTTTCTCGGGGCGCGAGTCACGGGCTTGGGGCGGTTTACTAAACACTAAAATTACAAAAAAAATATTTTAGCAGAAAAGGCCCCACTTAGCTACGTATTTCTTTTTTCAGAAACGACCTGGCCACAACTGATAGCTCAACGAAGTGGCTTATCACATGTACATTTGTAGCAGCCAATTACGCTAAACGCACGTTGATTCTAAATGTGGAGGGAAAAACCAGAGGACCCGGAGAAAATCCACACGACCACGGGGAGAGAGAGACTCGCAAACTCCAAATATACAGGCGATCGAACCCACGACCTCCTGCATACCAGACGAGGGAGATGACATCTCACCACCATGACATGTCGCTGGTAGGGAGGATGGCCGATGGTCATGAACAGTGATGGAGTGGCAGTCAAGGAGTTGGAACGCGTCCGAGAGGACATCAACCGTGGAGACGGAGTGATTCAAACCGGCACACGTGCGGGTCCTTGGATATATTGTCACGTTGCACGATCGTGAGACATGGCGACGACTTGGAGAAGCCTCCTCTATCCAGCAGTGGACTAACCACGGCTGATCATGATGATGATGGTGAGCGGTGGTGGGTGAGGAGCGGTAGTGTAGCGGTTAGCGCGCTGCCCTATGAACCCGGTGACTAGAGTTCGATTTCCGCTCCCGGCCAACACCGCTGACGATTATCTGAAACGGTCCTGGGATGTTCGATTATTTTTAGTTTACGCATTCAACAACTGTGTAGTTTGGAATGTTTTTGGGCGGTCGCTGCGATTGTTTCCGTTCGAGTAGCAAAGCTCGGCGTGATGTGGGCGTTTGGCGTGTTTCGTGTCAAGCGGACGGGCTCGCTTTGCAGCGTTGCGTACACACGATCCAGATTACACAACTGAACGTGGCTCTGTACGGAGCCTGCTTGTGAGGGCACGCTCAGGACGCCGTATGGAAACGGCGGTCGTGCTTCCTTTGTAAGAGCGACAAAGAGGCAGCCATCGGTTGACGGGCAAGAGGGGAAGGAGTTGGAAAGTAGACTGGGCAGGGAGCCGACAACGTGGACGGCCTGAGGAAGGGAGGTGCAAACCTTGGGATCGCCAGAGGAGAGCGAACAGCCTCGCACCGAGTGAAACTTGAGCGGAGGCTTCTATCGCTTCGTTTGTTCTGAATCCTGAGTTAAACCGTCCCCACCCCATTCCCCAACACACTGGCGGCTGCGATTATTTTTGCAAGCGAGCGTCACGCGCTTACCATGCCATTGCGACAGACCGGTTCATTGGAGGTGTTGGGAGAACATTTCTTTAAACCAACGCAATTCGCGCACGTCACGAAGGTGTGTTCCCGGAGGGCACGGTTCACTCGGCTCCTGGTGCTCGCAACTTTCCTCCCACCTTTACGACTTTCCTTCCCTCCCTAAATGTTGCAAATCGCGTTGTTGCATACGCCGTGCGTGCCCTATGATCACGACGCACTTTCTGCG